ATTAAAGCTTTATTTGTGCCCTTTCAAATAAGCTCCCAGCCGACTCATATTCTCCAACTCTAAAAGCAGCCCTAGTAGTAATTTGTCATGGCACCACTAAATTTCGTCAAGTTATTTGATAGGTTTTCTCGTGGACGCTGATTCTAACTGAGCTGATAAATGAAGTTACTCACCATTTACTCACCAATGCTCTCGGAAACCAATTCAAGTTTAACTTGATATTGGCTACATATAACTTTTGTCTAGTTATTTTAATGTTATTTTCCAGTGTTCCTAGAAATTATTTGCTATGTTTGTCGTGTCGATGGCGCTGCAATAATGTCCAATAACTGGACAGTCAGAATGTTTCTCTTTGCTTGATGAAAAATTTCGTTTCGTTTATTTTGTGTATTGAAATTAAATAAAGTGTACTTCTTATTCATCAATTCAGGCAAGTAGCAATAACAAGGATTTAGAAACTCTTTTATAACAAGTAACTTTAAGGAGGCATGCAATAATAAAAAATATAAAATATATGTCATTTGTTATTTGATATGTTATTTTGAAAAATGTAGGGGAGAGGCACAGTTTGGGAAAAAGTGTCAGTTCCCTCAAAAAGTAGGGTTCAAAACAGTCTAGAGCCTACAAATCGCAACCGATTTTGGATTTTTTTTTTAAATAAACTTTAATGAAATTGTAAGAGATCCCTCGAGCCCGTTTTTTGATTTTCAATTTGCATAAATAATTATATTAATATAAACAAATAAAAAAAAAGTACTTTTTACATATTACTCTTATTTTCAAAAAAATATGTAAAGTTTTTATGGTTAGGTATTTATATTTACTCCTTTGGATCTCTGAATTGTAGAATGATAATATAGACCCATTAGTAAATTGTTATAAACAAATTATATAAACAAATTGTTAATTTAGGCAATGATTTCAATTAACTTAAATGAAACTGATTACTCGGGGGATTTCGGGTCGCTGATTACGAATTCGATGTCAGTTTTTAAAAATTCAAAATGGCGGATCCAATATGTCGGACAAATGTTTAAAAATCGCTTAAATTAGCTTGAATCTGGTTACTCGGGGGTTTTTGTGGTCTCTGATCACGAATTCGATGTCAGTTTTTCAAAATTCAAAATGGCGGATCCAATATCACGAACGAATTTTTAAAAATTCATTGGATTCGCTTAAAAAAGTTTTCTTAGAAGACATTTAAAATTTTTAAAAAGACTGACGTATATTTTATATACAGTAACAAAAAGACCTAAATAACAATTTTTAATCGAATTTAATTTTTACAAAATTGTCTACCTTATTGGATATGCTATTCGATTTTGATTTTTTGAAAAACTAACATCGAATTCGTGATCAGCGATGCCAAAAACCCCTGGGTCACTATTTTTATTAAAATCGATCAAAGTGATTATCTAAAATTAAAATTTGTTTATATAATTTGTTTATAACAATTTATAATTTTTTCATATCTTTAATAGAAATCTCGAAAGTTATAAATTTTTGAAAATTTAAAATTATTTAATTTTTTCAAATTTAACTTCAATTTTATATTATTTATAATTAATATTCATGATTATTATTAATTATCGTTTAAAAAAATAACTTTTTTGTTATTTGTCATTAATTAATTGTAACGTAAATAATAAATTATTCAATAAATTTAAATCGTGCTAATTATATTGATAGTTCTCAATTAATCGATTTCAAATATTCGCGCGTTTTAGGAATATAGTTCCTCTCGCGTCCGCTAGGTTTTGAACCCTACTTTTTGATTTCAAACCACTGTGAGAGGGCCCCAAGATGAACATTTGATATAAAATTTTTGTTTAAGTATCAGTGTTGGGTAGTAACTAGTTATTAGTAACTAAGTTACTGAAAAAGTTACTTTACTTGTAACTTATAACGTAACTAAGTTACTTTTTTTAAAAGTAACTTGTAACGTAACTTAGTTACTATTTTAATAGTAACTTTTAATTTTAAGTTATTTCGTTACTTTCTTTGCACTTTTTTATTGCTTTAAAAACTTAATAATTTCGTATTTCAAAAAAGCGCGCAAAGTGATAGAAAAAGAACATGGGGTGTTTTCGGGAGTTGCTGACAGTAAAAAATTACCCAATCAGAATAAACATGCTGATGCATCAGCCAATCACAACATACTGACAGTATACTCACAGCCATCTCACAGCAACTCTCGAAAACACCCATGGCCTCTGCGCTCGCACGCTGCGCATTGTACCGAGTGTTTACATTCTGTTTTTCATGTGCTCGTGTTCCATAGTATTCGTTTGGTTTACTGTTGCAATATAGGGGATTTACCTGCATAATTTAAACAGTGTACAAGATTTTTTAAAATAAGATTTTAATTAATTTATTTATTTGTATTCGGAAGTTTTATATAGACTTTTATTTAAGAGTTTATAAAAATAATTTTTAGCAAGCCCGTGTCGAAATTGTACCTTATTAATTGATTTGTAAATTAATTCTTAAAATGGCAAACAAAATCCATGATTATAAAAACTAATTTTCTAATAATGATAATATTTTAAAAAATTTTATAAATAAATCTCAGATTCTTCATCACAGTCAAATAAGAAGCAAACTCTTTTGGAAAACTGGACTTCCGATTCAAAGCTAGTTACTCAAAAATATTGGATAAAAAAATTATGGATTATGTAATAGAAGTGTTGTAGAAAAATTATCTTTTAAAGACCTAGTGTTACTTGGTTTACCAGGAAATTTGAAAATTTTTACACGTAAAACTTTAGGGGAAAGAATAGATGATGCTTTTATTAAAATGAATGCAAATCTATGTCAAGAACTTGAATAAATACATGTATTACAATTATATTTCACATTTTAATTTGATTCCCATTTGATAAAAAAATTGAATTTCGATAAGACAAATTTTAAAATAATTTTTCAGTAACTTGAAATGTAACTTAAGTTACTTTTTAAGTAACTGTAACGAGTTACTTTTTTATGAAAGTAACTGTAACAGTAACTAGTTACTTTTTTTCATTAAGTAACTTAAATGTAACGAGTTACTTAAAAGAGAGTAACTTACCCAACACTGATAAGTATATATCGCCTCGTGAATTTTTTTTACTGATTCAGTTTGTTTAGATGAAGCTTTTTATATAAACACGGATCGGAAAGAATTTTTTTTTCCTGTAACACATATCACGTGGATTTTTCGTTTTAAAAAGTTTTGTAACAGTTTTGATTTCAGTCGGTAAAATTATCTATATTTTTGACTTCGAATAGGTGCATATCGTAATAAACTTATTTATTTATCGTATAATAGTGTTGTAAAATGATTCGCTAGACACTGTGTTTGTAAATAACTTTTATTTGCGACAAAAAAATGAAGTCATTGGTCCTAAGATGGACAGTCTGGTGGCCCTAAGATGAACATCACACCTTAATTTCTTAATTTTTTTTATTTTCAATGTTACAGTTTCTTAATAATGCTCTAAGCCTCATAATTGAAATTTTTTCTTTCTCTACTTCGAAATTGTGTTGTTATCAATAGAGAATTGAATTGAAAAAAAATTATAAGCAATGTTAATTATGTAAAATCAAAAATAGTATAAACTTTTATTTGGAAAATTAAAAATTATAAAAAATACTAATTCGCTACACAATTCCCGTGTGGAAATTCGTCACGTATCTGTACCGTAACGATATAGTTTCACTATTTGCGATCTAGTTGCGGTACCGTGAAACATTACATAATCTATCTTGAAATGTAACGACACGAACATCTAGTTTCGATATAGTTTAACAACATCAAAACTATCTTGCGAATCTACATCGTAACTGTCTTGTGGATCTAAATTTATCAGTATAGAACCTTCAAGATAATTACTAGATTTAAAAATCCCTTAATTCACGTAAGGGATTTTTAAATCTAGAAATTATCATTTACAGTTGATAATATTTAATATTGCGTGAATAAAACATTTTTTAATTTTTTAAATAATTATATTATTTATTAAACTTAAAATGTTAAGAAAAATTATTTTTAATTGACAATTAGAATTAGCAAAGTGTAAAAATATTTTAATTATTATTGTAATCTTTAACACTACTTTTCAATGAAGAAACGAATAGATCCATATTCAGGATTTTGCAATATTTAAATAATCTTTGAACTTTTAATTAACAAAACGTAAGAATAATTCAATTATTCTGCTGTGCAAGAAGATTTTCCAATGAAGTAACCGGTAAATGAAGATCCATGATTATAATTTTTGAGCGATGACCATCCCAATCATTGGCGTTTGTAATAACCGGACCTAATACTGTTAGAAAATGATTTTCAGTCACAGCAATGTTTAACAGTTTAAGGCGTTTTGTTATGTAGTCTGTAATATAACATAAGTAATATTAATAATTAAAATTTTAATTGATATAAATTTATACTTCAAATCAGATAAACTTGTCATTTTTATATTATATAGATTGTTTTTCAAATTTATTTTTCAAAGAATATTAAATAACTCTTATTTTTTCACTGGACGCAGTGGACGTTTTTTTTATGAATTTTACTACACTTTTTTATAAAAATGAAACAAAATGATAAAATATGACAAGATTGCCAGTTTTGAAATTAATTTCATATTTTCAAATATGTGACATACCGAGCATACACTTGTAGAATTCGGTGCCTTTAAACACATAAGGTTTCGTTGTCGACTTGATTTGAGCATTGAATTGAAGCATAAGATCTCTGCTAATATATCTTCTCAAAACATTTGTGAATGTACGGGACAGTATGTTTTGCCTGTCTATTAAATCATTTATCGTTTGTTTCTAAAAAAATCGTCACTTAGGGTACTCTTCTTAATTAAAATTAAATTAAAAAAAACTTAATTTTATACTTACAAAATCATGTCTGAAAGTCTTGTTCTCTTTTAAGTCCTTTTCCATGGAATCCTAATCTTGGATTGTTGCAAGAGGTAAAGTAAGTTCATACTTTTCTGCAAATGTAGAGGGAAGACTCAAAGTGGCGCTTCCATTTGAAACCATCATAATTTCAATATCTTTCAAGCCCCGCTTTATTTCCTGGTTGTCTATATGATTAATGTGTAATCCTTTGAGTATTCGTGATTGCAGCAATAGAGGGTTTTCTGAAAATAAAATTCGTCATTAATACATTTAAAAAAACACAATGTTTTCAATATGTGATTAATAAATAATAAAATCAGTGTTCATGCCAACCTATTTCAGCTGCAGAAATTTGTGGCGAAAAAACATCCAGAACTTGTTGTTTATTTTTTTCGTCAATATCGTCTCCTACAGTAATAATAATAATAATAATAATAATAAATATAAAAATAATAAATAATAAATAAAATATATAAAAATATGTATAAGAAGGTAATATTGGAGAAACAAAAAATATTTTTCAAATTATAATAAGAAATATAAATTCTTTAAAATGTTCGAGTTAAAACGACTGTCCACAATATTTCATTTATAGCAGTCGCAATTTTAAACTTACTTTTCAACTTTTTAGCAGAAGGTGGCTTCAAACGACTTTGAGAACCTTGTCTTTTTTTACTTCCTTTTTCGAGATTCTCTTTCAGATTTTCTTTGTCGATTTTTTTTCACTTTTTTCATCTTCGCTGAGACAGGGGTTTTCGCTATCTAAAAAAAACAAATTTCGTGTAACAATCCAACCAAGATTTAGTTTCCAATGAGAAGTGAATTTAAAATTTATCTGTATTATTTTTTTAACTAAATCAAAATTTAAAAAATGATTTTATAAATGAATGTTCAAGTTGTAAAACAAGTAGTTTCTGAAATAAAAAATATTTCAATTTTTGAAAAGAATATTTAAAAGATTAGATAGCTTTAATTGTAAAAAGTGCTTTCTTTAAATCTCAATTTCATTTATAAAAAATAGAAATAGTTTTTACTATAGAAATTTTCCGGATTTTTTTGAAAATCTTCTCCAGTCAGTGATTTCTCGCCGTCCCTTAAAGACTCATTTTCATCATCGCTGTTCAAGGCATCGTCACTATCTACAGAGAAAAGAATCAAAATAGTTAGATATTTTAACTTATAAATTTTAGAAAAAATTTTGTAGGCCATTTATATTATTAAAAGTGTGTGAGAATTCTGTAAAATATATTTATTGAATAATCAGAAGGCATATTTATTTATGTAAAGAACGTATGAAATTATTTTAACTTACTCCTTTTAAAATGTTTTGAATCAGATACCTGTTTGTTGTGTCGGTTCCATCAAAGATTTGGACGAAGTGTAATTAATTGTCTCAAACTGTGTGGGTCTGTTTGACAATTTCTGATCGATCTTATTCGCTGTAGTTTTTGACGTTTCTGGAAGCATTGTCTTAACCTGTGTCGATCTGTTAGACAATTTCGGGTCGATCTTATTCTCGACAGATCTTGACGTTCCTGGACTAACAGTATCTGAAAAATTAAATAAATTAACAATATAAAATATTAAAAAAAATGATAATTTTAAATTGATTTATTAAACTTTTAAATTTAATAAAAATATTAATTATTATCACCGGAGAAATTCCTGATTTGCTCAGTAATGTCGGTAACTTGTAATATTTGTTTCGCTTTTTCTGGGTTGACCACCACTTTTTTTTCTCGAATTACTTTCTTTGTTGCTTTTATTTTTTTCGAATGTTCATTGCCACTGTAAGCGAATTCATTTGTTTCCAATTCGTTCATACGAAGACAGGCTTCAGTAAAAGTTTCTAAATTAAAAGTAAATAAATCGAATTATATATATATAAATTAATTTTTTTAGTAAAATTGCATTACATTGTTCTAAAATAATACCTCCATAGCACCGAAACTTTCCTGAACATGTAAATGTAAACATTTTCTTATAAAACATTTTTATGCGAAAATTAATTTTACATTTTTAGGAAATGTTCACGTTAAACATTTATTTAAGTGGGACACTTAAGTTTTTACACAACTTATACTAATGACAGCAATTAAATATTGCGAACATTTCAAGTAAATCTTTAAGAAATTTTCAAGAAAGTTTCAGTGCTGTGGGGATACATACTTGCATGACCCTGAAATTTTGTTTCATATTCAGGCCAACTGTTTAGTGGAGATGAAAAAGTTTGCAACAATTTCTTTAGGTTTTTTTTCGTTTTTGCATCGTATGGCGGAGGAGGAAACTTTGTGAAATACTTTTTGGTTTTCTTTTCATAGGAAATCCAGTCAGCTAAAACCATGTCTATGGCTTTTTTCCGTCTTCATCTTTATAACCAGGAAATGATACAAGTTGGTAGGTAACACATTCTTCATCATCTGATGAAGATTCTGATGAAGATTTCGCTGGAACTTGATTCATCTGTTAAAATTTTATAATTATGGAATCAAATTATAAAAATAAAATTACGTTGTTTCAAATGTTTATAACTGATTTTTCTGCAGTAAAAATAATTTATTTAAATCCAAGGAATTTTATTTAATTCATTTAAATCATTTATACTTGTTTATAACCTATATTAAAATTTATTGTTTAAATTAAATTTTTATTTCAAAAAAACACAAAATATTTCACGAAATTAAAATCCACGACGTTCATAATCAACGATTTAAAATAAAAATATTTTTAAAAATATCTGAAAAGTAATTTTTACAAATTTCTTTTACCAATAATTTTTTAAAAATTTTATTATTTTGCATTTCTAAAAATATAATTTTTTAAAAATATTTTATTATAAACGTTATGAATTTCAACTTCATAAAATTTCAGTGAAAAATTTATTAACTGTTTCAAATAATTCATTATTTATGCTAAAAAAATCATTAATTGAAATAATTATTTAATTGATATAAATGCAGATTATGATAACTACAACATGGTAAATAACTTGAATTTTAAGCAAAATTAGGTTAAACAACTTTAAAAATGAATCACTATTACTAAAAAATGAATATATATATATATATTCATATATATTTTTTGTGTGTAATTTTTGAAAAAAGTAATATTTTAAGTAAAAAATAATAGATTAAACATAACTTTGTAATACAATAACTGTATAAAAAAAGTTATTTCACTTAATTGCTAAGTACTAATTTCTTTTAAAAAAAGTATGGTGATTTTTCTCCGTCGAAATAAATTAAATATAATGAACGTGGTTTTTTATCTTGTAAATTTTTATGCATGCATAGAAGTCTTATCACTTAAATTAATTATAATATATATCTGCGGAATTTAACTTACCTCTGTCTGTAGTGGAAAGACAACAGCTTTTCATAAATAAACACGAATAATATTACTAAAGATTTTGATGTACAACTCAAGAAATCATCACGAAACAGAAAACCACAAAATGTCGATTGATAAAGAAGGAAGTGAAAAAGGTTGAGTTAAAGGTTAGGTTAACCTTTATTTCCGGTGTGCTTGAGATTAGCACATGCGCCATTTTCAAGTTATTGATATATATATATATATATATATATATATATATATATATATATATCGATCATGTAGATGATCACCTGTTATTGTTAGATGGTATCTAACACTTTAATTATGGAATTATTATTTAACTTATTAAACGTTTAATTGAGTTTTCAAAATTTGAGAATTTATAATTCTGTCACAAAAAATATTTTCTATAAAAATAAGCAGTATTATTCAATTTTTTAAAACACCCGCCAATTATCGATAATAACACTTCCGTCATTGTCATTTAGATATATTGCTTTGCGACTTCCTTCATCAGCGTCACCGTGTCATTCTAGTTGAAAAATATAAAAAAATTACTTTTTAGAGTAATTTATTTTAAAAAATAACTGAAAAATTGGAATTATTCGTATCCTCAACTACAGTGGACGTCATTTAGCGGATTTTTACAAAATATAACGTGAATCTTGATAGTAAACAAAATGTGTTCTGCTGACGTTTCTGTTACGTTTTATTTATTAACATCGCAACATAATAATATGAGAAGTAAGTATAATGCATTTATTTATAAAAAAGATTCAAATATATTTGAATATACTTTCATTTATATAATAAGAAATTTTCTGAAATAAATTTCCTAACCTCAAATTTAATTTATACATGCATAAATTAAGTGACCCAGTAAGAAGCGAGGAATTGAAAAGAATTAAAAAATTTTAATTCTTCTGAATTCCATTTCTGTCCAATTCTTTTGTATTCTTTGAGAGTAGCGGAAAAAAAGGAAACTCAATTCTTTTGAATACACTTTTACTATTTATGCATTGAGTATACAGGAATTAAAAAGAATTGAAAAATTATTGAGGAATTCACAGGGATTGAAAAATTTCAATAAAATGTATTATAGGATTCATAAGAATTCGATTTGTAATGAAACAGAGGAATTGAAATGAATTAAAATATATTAATGGATCTTAAAGCTATTCAATCATTTCAATGAACTTACTATTGCATGATTATTGAAAATTACGTTAAAAATATAACTTTAAAAAATAATTAAAAACATAATTATTAAGAAATTAAGGAACGAATAAAGTTAATTACTTTATAAACAATTTTTATTGTTTTTTTTGGAAAAAATACTGCTTCGTAACATATTTTGAAACATTTTACATTTTTTTCTTATACAGCTAGATACACTTATTAATTAGTAAATATTTTTACAGTCTTTTCAGTAGAACAGATTTCTGAATTGTCTATAACCTTACTTTTTAATCAGTCTGAAATTTAAAATTATAATACTGTTTGTTACGATGTATTATACCTACAATAGAAAAAAATATTAGGTTAACAAATTATATTAATAAAATAAAATTGTTTTAATATGGGAGAGCTTTGTAACTTAACACTTTTTTATCAGCCTTTAAATATAATCAAATTTTTTAATACTGCCATTAATATTATCGTCAGCTTTTAAAAACCGTCTGTTTAAAATTGAATCTTGCGATCTTCCTTCCCCTCTTCATCTCTCTCATAATTATCCTCTTTTTCTCGTTCATCCGTCTCATCCTCATCATCATAATCATCATATTTTTCATTTTCTCGTTCATCCGTCTCATCCTCATCATCATCTTTTTCTTTTTCTCGTTCATCCGTCTCATCTTCATCACTATAATCATCATCTTTTTCTTTTTCTCGTTCATCCGTCTCATCAACATAATCATCTACTTCCTCTTTTTCTCGTTCATAAGTCTCATCATCATCTTTTTCTTTTTCTCGTTCATCCGTCTCATCAACGTAATCATCTACTTTCTCTTTTTCTCGTTCATCCGACTCATCAACGTACTCATCTTCATCACTATAATCATCATCTTTTTCTTTTTCTCGTTCATCCGTCTCATCAACATAATCATCTACTTCCTCTTTTTCTCGTTCATAAGTCTCATCATCATCTTTTTCTTTTTCTCGTTCATCCGTCTCATCAACGTAATCATCTACTTTCTCTTTTTCTCGTTCATCCGACTCATCAACGTACTCATCCTCATTACCATAATCATCATCTTTTTCTTTTTCTCGTTCATCCGTCTCATCATCATAATCATCTACTTCCTCTTTTTCTCGTTTAGCAGTCTCATCATCATTATCATCATAATCTTTTGCTTTTTCTTTCCTTGATTTTGTATCCTTATTATTATTATTATCATTGTCACCCTCCTCTTTTTCTGTTCCCACTTCTTTCTCGTCCTCATCAACATCACTGCTATCGACATTTTCTCCCTCTTTTTCATCACCACCAGTATCCTCGTGTTTATCATCATCATCTTCACCTTCGCTCTTCTCATAATCTTCATTTCTTTCTTTCTCCTGCATTTGTTATCCATTTTCTCCTAATAATGGCCTGGCGTCAGTTTTATTTTCTTCAAAAAATTAAATTTATATAATTAATTTTATTGAAACTATTTATAATTTACCTCAATATTTGTGACGCGATCTGAAGAAAGCGACCTTAGAAGCAAATCACTTTAAAGTTATATGTTTGTGTTAGTTTTTTCGTGATCAAAAATTTCTTTTTAATTATTCAAATTTAAAATCAGTTTTTATTAAATATAACGAAGACTTAAACAAAGATTTGTATTGAAAGTTGATCTTCTTTGACTATTTTTATTCTAAAAATTTTAAAACATAACCTAATATTTTTTACCTCTGAGGTCCTTTTCTTCAGATTGCGTCACATTTAATATTTTACTTCTTTAGTACTAGTAATATACATCGATATATTACTCACTTTGGTAAAGCCCTTTTATAAAAGCAATTTTCTTTGCAATTATTTTATTTAATTGGCAAGATTCACTTTCGGCATCATCTTTATTCAAACCTAATTCATTAATTAGGAAATGTTTATAGATATCTAGAAACAAATATTAACAAATAATTTCGTTGAAAAATTTAAAAATAGATTTCTTAGGATTTATATGGGGCAAAATTTCTTAAGCGATCGAACATACTAATAAAAGTTTTTGAAGTGGACTGAAATTTATAAAAAATTTACACTGCATATTTTACAAGCAAATAAAGTTAGGGTAATTCTGAAATTACAAATTAGAAGATTATCAAACTCTGCACCCAACGAGCCTAATATGAAGTGTTTTACAGTGGTAGATCTTTATTAAATAATTAATAGACAATTGTTTATTAGCAATCTATTATTTCAAAATACTTTATATTAAGCTCGTTAAGGCTGAAATAATCCACTATTGGCAATTTCAATGTTGGATCGCATGAAAAATTCTGCCCATATGTAATAGAATTATATTTGTTACCTTTTATCGCCAAAACTTTATTCGGATCCAGCTTTTCTGTAGGTTTCTTAACATTTCCATTCCGGTTGCTTCCTTCCCCAGTTACTGTGCATTTCCTCAGCAAATCGTACCCAAAAACTGCTACACATAAATTTCGAGGAAAGGTTTTTCGGCTTTTATAAGTGACTCCATTCATTGACAAAAGATATGTTGCATAAGATATCCATTCCCCTCGACCCATATGAATCTGAAATAATATTTTTTAAATTACAATTACAAGCAAGATGTTAACACTGAATTACATATTTATTTGAAAAGCGAAATTTAAACCCATCAAAATTTATGTTGTTTAAGTGATAATTAAATATACAACATTATTACGTATTTAAAATTATTGTGTAATATGAAAAATCATAAAACAGGTAGTTGAATTAATAATTTAATATTTGGCAATAGAACTCAAAAATTTTCGAAAAATTAAAATTGTGCTTATTCACTGGTTTCTTCCCTTAAATCGAAGACTGAAAAGAAGTCGATAGAAATATTCTTTTAGATCCCTCGCTCTTTTTCCCTCTTTAGACATTTAATAACATATTTAATAAATTTTTATGAAAAAATATTTGTAACAAATATATCTAAAAACTAAAAATGAATAATAATAAATTAATAGAATAATTCCTAGAAATATTTTTAGAATATTACATTTAGAATATTTCAGAATAAAACTGAGGAAAGTATTTAAGATATTTACTTTTAAAAAAGTTCAATTTCTTTTCTTAAAATATTTTTTATGTCTGAGATATAAACTTTTTGAACTTACAAAACTTCTGTCTTCAGTAATGTATCCCGGCTGCAATTGAATTTCTTCAGATCTAAAATCTTGATGATTTATAATTTGATCAAACATATCTGGAAATAACAGATTTTGTATTATAAAAGTTTAGTTAAAAAGCACCTATGAGTAATTTTAGAAATTAAAAAATAAGATATTTATTTAAATAACAAAAATATTAATAGAAAAAAAGATTCCTGTTCATTAATTAATGTTCACAGTAAATGTTTTTACCGTGTATCGCAGCATATTTATTCATTGACAGCGCTTGCCATTTTTCATTTAATTTCATTATTCTTTCCGAATAACTTTCGGCTTCCACCAATTTCTCCTCTAACTGCTGTACCTCGGATTTTAAGCTGGTTATAACCTCATTTAGATTCTCATTTTTGACTCTTTCATCTTTTAACAGTTGTTTTGTTTTCTTTAACAAATCCGCCAATTTAGCAATTTTATCGTTTTCCTTCAAAAGATGTTGAGTTCCTCGCTCTTTTTGCCTGTCAATCTATATAACAATAAATATGTAATTTTAAGAAAATGTAAAAGGATTTTTTTTATTACAAATATATATATATATATATATATATATATATAAATTTTACTAAATTTTAGTAAAATAAAAATTCAATATTCTAGATTCAAAACAAGTTAAATCGTAATAACTTACCACCAACTTCTTAAAATTTGATTCTGTTGCCTTTAAATCAATGTTCAGGTGTTGGTCGTACTGATCGTTTGAAGAATTTTTTTCCACAAATGTCGATTTTTGTTCAGTGATTTCAGGATTCTGTAAAACAAAAATTTCAGCAAATAAAAGATCACTGAACACTAGTGTGGTCCAAAAATGTCGGAATTATTTTGTACTCACTAGGACAGAAGTTTATCCAAGAAAATACTCACGGTTCTTTGTTTGCTGAAAGAAAACATTGAGCTTTATCTCAAACCCCTTTCAAATTCCCATATAAATATACATGTTAAATAACGGTTTTTTGTAAATTGAATACAAAATGTAAAAATAAACAATATTTTTCAACCAGACTACTTTATTTCTCTTCAAAAATGTTAAAATAATAACAAAAAAATAATTAAATAAATCATTTACAAAAATATCAATATTTACTATTTTTAATAGAAACAAACTCTAATGTTTTTAAATTTACGAGATATTTTGGAGAACCTGTAAAACCTGCAAACATTACCTATTTTATAAAAATAATTTTTTGTCATTCTCTGAGCATTTCTAAATTTAAAAATTTATTTTCTTCAGGCAATAAGGGAGTCTGGTTAACAAATGTTTTTATTATATTTCATATCTAACTTACGAAAAACTGTTCTTATACCATGTATTTTACTTGTTAATTTCGAAGGGATTTGAGGCACGATTAAACGTTATTTTTTCAACAAACGTTTTTTTTCATAAACTTCAATCCTAGAGGATGAGAGAAAAATTTCGACTTTTTTCCATCAACTTTTGGACCACCTTAGTGGATACCCTGTTAATTTTTCGGTATATGCAGATTCGGATTATAAAAAATTTTGCCTGCAACAAAATTCTCTTTAATAAAAGCAAAAATAAATATATAAAATAATGTAAATATAGTATTTTCTCACTTTCAAATTCTTTGGAGTTTCTGTGATGTCCATTTCCTTGCCAGATACGTTAACTTTTGTTTTATTAACTAGCGTGACAGAATTTGAATCTTGAATTTTTTCAGGTAACTTTTCAGTTGAAACCTTCTTTGTAACATTGCCCGTTTTTTTTAATAATTTTGTCCAAAGATACAGAAGTTGAAGAAGTGTTCGAAACCTGCATATTATTTTTAATTACTAGAAAATAATTTCTGCCATAATTTTTTTCTTTCTTATTTATTTCAGATGATTTACTGAATATTTTCATTTTAATCCACAGTTGACTGTTAAAAATTCAGTAAGGTAGTCTTTTGAATTTTAAATACTTGTTACATTGACAAAAGAATTTTTATATCTTTTTTAATTTTTTAAAGATTTTGATTTTTCAGAATGATTTAGAATTTTGATCGCTTGTAAATAATTGCAATTTTTAAAATACTTTAAAATTTAAATATTATTTTATAAAATTTTAATAATATTTAAAATTTTATGTTGAAATTCAAGGTACTTTTAATATTTTCAAATTCAAGAATGCAAGGTTTTCATAGGACGTTGGTCAATCCAAACTTACGTTGTTGATATGTACCAAATAATTTTTTGACATTATTAAGGATTTAAAATTAATATGAATTATTCAAAATAGAAAGCAGACGGTATTAGAATTTTTAATTACTAAATATACGAAAATTTTTTAAATAATATACGACTATTTGGAATTATAGAAATAGTATTTTAATAATTGTCAATGACAAATCATAAACATGCATAAAATAATTATTTATTATTCAAATAATTAAAATATTAATATTAGTTGTATTTTCTTAGAGAAGAAATATCAGTTGTCAAGTAAAAAATTAAAAACTTATAAATTTTGTTTGTTTATACAATTTGCATTTAATCAAAGTTTTCTATCATATCGCTTCTACAGAATTTTTTTAAATGATTTGATTTTAATTTAATATGACTTATTTTCTTCATAAAATGATTCTCTACAACTTTACCATGGGAATTTTTAAACAAGCAATCAAGCCGTTTGCAAAATATTGCTAATTGTTTTTTAAAAAAATTTTTTTTTAAACTAATAGCTATATCTTTTAAACGGCTTTCTTGTTTAAAAATCCACACGGTTAAGTTGTAGAGAATAATTTTATGAAGAAAATTAGCCACATTACAATAAAATTGCATTATTTTTAATAAATTCTATAGAAGCGATATGACCAGAAACTTTGCTCATATGCAAATTGAATAAACAGATAAATTTTGAAGATTTGAAATTTTTTTCTTGAAAATTGATATTTATTTTGTCAGAAAATACAATTAATAATATTATTACAATTATTTAAATGTTAATTAATTATTTTTTTCTAAAGGTCTGCATTCGTGGATAAACCACCTTAACTATGGTTTTTTCACCAATCAACTTTAAGTATAAAGTTAACTTCAAATCATTGAAAATAATGAAAACATTTTAAAGTTTTATTGTAATATAATTAAAGAAACAAACTCTCTAAATAAATCGTAATTTTTTACCTTTCCTTTCTTAGGTGCTGACTTTTTGTCGGTTGGTCGTATATCTATATTTTTACTTGAAAATATCGAAGCACTAATTTGTGTTTTATTTCCAATAGCCGAAGAATTTTTATTAGCTGCAATTGCGTTTCCAAGAGTTAGAGAATTTTTGTTCTTTGAAGTTGCATTTTCATTAATTTTAGGTTTTTTGTCCGTCGAAGTTGCACTTTTAATAGCTGGAGAATTTTTATTGGCCGAAGTTGTTGGAGAAGTTTTGTGCGCTGAAGTTGTATTTCCAATAATTGGAGATTTTTTGTTCTTCGAAATTGCACTTCCAATAGCTGGAGAATTTTTGTTGACCGAAGTTGTATTTATAATAGTTTTAGAAGTTTTTTTTGGTGAATTTGCAGTTTCAATAGGTGGATAATTTTTGTTTTCCGAAGTTCCCTTTCCAATAATTTTAGAATTTTTGTTCGCCGAAGTCAATTTCTTTAGATTAATTTGAGGATTCTGTGAAATGAAAGTTTAATCACATGTAAATTAATTATATAAATTCATTTTAATTAATTTTTGGAGAAATAAACATTTTTCAGTAAGCAAATTGATTTATTAACAAATTATTTTTATTTAAAAATTATCTTAAATTTTAAGTTTGTTAAATATAAATTATGGACATTGACAATTTTAGTAAGCAAACATGTTATTTAAATAAATTGAGTATAATATTGTACAATTGTATCAAACAGAATGACAGTGAATTATGTTGTCAGGTAACTTTTTGAAAACAAAATTAAAGGTTTTTAAAATTTTTTACAAGTCAAACATTTTTCTTGGAAACAATTTTTAAATGCAAATAAAAATAAACTAATGAAATAATAAAAATTGAATTTTCTCACCATCACGTTGTTTGTAGTTGTTTCCTCGCCTTTCTTTCTGATGTCCATTTCTTTACCAGATGCATCAACTTTAAGTGTGACAGCGTTTGCGCCTTGAATTTTTCTCGAAGACTTTCTTTTTGAAACTTTATTTTTGATATTATTTCTCTCTTCTATACTTTTAACAGGAGGTGTAGAAGAACAGTCCAAAACTTGTTTATTATTGTCAATAATTTGGAATGGAATTCTTTTCTTATCAATATCTTTGGAAGTTTCTTTGGTTGTAGAAGCTTTGACGATATTTTTGTCTGATTTCAGGATTTTTATATCAATAATTTTGGGTATTTTCGCTGCAACAGGAAATGGAAGACATTGATCTTCTTGCTTCCGTTTTAAAGATTCCATTCTGTCAGACAAAGCAGAAGTTTTAATTTTTCTTTTAATAATTTTTTTTGAGTCAGTTTCACTGTCAGTAGTATCGAATGCTGCAGTTAGGTACTTTTTATTTGGCTCTCTGATCCTATTTTTCCTTTCAATTAATTTATCCAACTCAATCTCAGAGTCTGCAAAAATAAAAAATTTTAAACATTTAGCAAAATTAAAAATTATATTCGGCAAATTTTAAGAAATTTTCATTGCCTCACGTTATTTAAAGGCTACCAAGTTAAAATGGGTCAAGCGACAATTTTTCAAAATTCAATTTTTTTCATTAAAAAATCCAGTAAATTAATAACGATGCCGAAAAGGTATTCTTAATATTTTTTAAATGACCAATGGAATTTTTAGTTTTTTTCGTTTTCTGTAGAAACATGAAATTTGCTTATTTAAAATTTTAATGCTAAAATAATTGAAGATCAATAAAAAAAATTCCTATAACATTTATCAGTAATAATTTTTAAAAAATTTAATTTTTTTAAAATTTAAGTCTACTATACATTTTTATTATTAAACTATACTATCATACCATACTGTGATGGGCAGGTTAAAAGTCTAGTAAAACTAACAACTCATTGTATCAAATATTAAATTTAAAACATTCAATTGTTTATTTATAATTTACTCAGAAAAAGAAAAGAAAACAATAAATATTATTAGATAATAGTAGGAAATTTAAAAATTAAATCCTATAAACTTTTTTGAAGTAAACTTACAAAACAGTTATCATACCTTGTTAATTATTTATAACCCTTGTGAATACAAACAAAATTAATGTAATTTATTAATTACATATATTTTTTATAAAATTTTATCTTAATCTACATGGAAAACGATTAATTAAGGTTTTTTGAAAATTTCAAAAATATTCACGGATAGTAAATACATCAAAAACTTGTCATTTTACACATTAAACAATTTAACCCTTTCGTGCCTCCGGGACATATATGTCCCACTTACAAAATTTAATGTCATTCTTATAAAATTGAAGGAATCAATAAGCGGTAAATTTTTTTCTGTTACCTTTGGACACTACTATGTGTAAAAAAATGATAAATTACATAACGATGTTATAATTAATTTAAACAATAACAAAAATATTGCTATTTTTTAAAAAATAAGTTATATAAGTACTAACTAATTTCTTTGTCACATAGTTAATAATTTTTAACACCACTACGTTTTCTTATGCTTCTGGGGTCGCTAATCACGAATTTGGAGTCAGAATAAAAAAAACTCAAAATGGCGGAACCAATATGGCGGGCTTTCAAAAAAATTTATCGAAATTTTTTAAAACTTCATTGGATTTGGTTTAAAATTTTTGCTCGGGAGTTTTCGGGGTTGCTGATTACGAATCCAATGTTAGTTTTTTAAAATTCAAAATGGCGGATCCAATATGGCGGAATTTTTTTTTAAATTTGCTTGGATTTGCTTAAAAATTGGTACTCGGGGGTTTTTGAGGTCGCCGATTACGAATCCGACGTTAGTTTTTCAAAATTCAAAATGGCGGATCCAATATGGCGGACATATTTTTTAAAAATTGCTTGCATTTGATTAAAAATTGGTACTCGGGGGTTTTTGGGGTCGCTGATTGCGAATCTGATGTTAGTTTCTGAAAATTCAAAATGGCGGATCCAATATAGCGAACGAGTTTCTCATAAAATTTATTTAAGCTCAAGAAATCCACAACTCAAGATTTTTTGAAATATGATGAATGCGAAACTAATGTCACTTTTTAAAAATTCAAATCGACTTTTCCAGAATAGTGAAGAAAATTCAAAACTATATTTTAGATCATAAATATCAATGTTTAAAAATTAACCATCTGTTTATTATTTAAATTTTATTCAATATATTATTTTTTAATTTTTGGAACACGTATAAAAGGGTAATTAAATTTTATTCATAAAATAATAGAAAAATTGTTATTATTATGATTACGTTCATTTGCATAGTAATCATCATTTTCATAAAAACGCGCGCTTTACCTCAATACTTTTGGCGCTTTGTTGACCTGTGTAGTCACCAGGTATTAGAGCGCTTTACATTGTAATTGAACTTTCGTCCGCAAGGTGGTGCATGCATAGTTAGGGTAGGTTCTCTCACAATCAAGACGCATTGAGAAGTATATATATGTATAAGTACAGACAACTTTGAGATAAAAATATTACAAATTTTTCGTGTGTTCTTGCAGGTAGGTGGATACTAATAGTCTAAAAATATAAATCAGTTCTTTTCAGAGCTTTTCTTTTCCTTTCTCTCTTAGTTTCTTATTCTTTCCTATTCTTATTCTGTCTTACTCCTTATTCTTTTTTAGTTTTGTTTTCCTTACAAGCAGTTATTTTTGGATCATTTTTTTGTTTCTTTAGTTATTTTTCAAGTTTTTTTTGTACTTTTTTTATTTTTTTTTACATTTTTTCAGTTTTTTTAACTTATTTACGTTAATTTTTTTGTTAATTTTTTCCTATAAAAATTTACACTTTTAAATAAGTAAAATTTCTTTTCTCTAAAATGAATACTCGTTCTCGAGTAAGAAAGAACTTGGAAAATTTTTCACTTCCATCTGATCCGGAAGATTCAGAAGGAGACATTGAGTCTGAGGAAGAAGAAAGATATGATCTTTCAGATTCTGACGATGACGCGAATAGCGTAGACCAAGACAGCGATGATACCGATTGCAGTGATTCTGAAAATCCACACAATACTGAAAATGGAAAATGGGTGGCAGACCGTTGGAATTGTAGGGATAATTTGAATTTTGAAAAGGACCCAACAATTTTAGTACAAATGGGGAAAAAAGTCAAAGAATCCGATTTCTTTGATTTGTTTTTCACCCAAGACATTTTACAAAAAATTGTTGAGGAAACCAATATGTATTTTCATCAAAATAAAAAAAAAGAGTCAAAGTATGCTTATGAGTTATCGATTGATGAGCTACGTGCTTGGATTGGTATGTTGATATTGATGGGAATACATCGTTTACCTCAACAGAAAAATTTTTGGAGCACAGATCCAGCACTTAGAGTTGATTTTATTGCCAATATAATGACTCGTGATCGATTTAGAAAAATAGCTGAAATTCTTCACTTGAATGACAACAACAAAGTTCTTGAAAAAAGTGATCCGAATTATGACAGGTTGTTCAAAGTAAGACCGCTTGTTGATCATTTGAACAAAAAGGCTCAGGAAATTTACTCTCCTTCTAAAGTACTAGCTGTTGATGAATCTATGATAAAATTCAAGGGTCGATCATCTCTCAAGCAGTACATGCCAATGAAGCCAATAAAAAGGGGATATAAGGTCTGGTGTTTGGCTGACTCACAATCTTCGTACATTTTGAAGTTTGAAATTTACACTGGAAAATCCACAGATTCACAGAAGAGCCAAGAAACTCTTGGTGAACGAGTTGTTACGAATCTTACTAAGGATTTGCGTGGAAGCAAATCATTAGTAGCATTCGACAACTTCTTTACTTCTGTGGATCTAGTAACTTCACTTCTTCAAAATCAAATATTTTCAGTAGGCACTGTTCGGGTAAATCGAAAAGGCTTACCAGAGATTATGAAGAACAAAAAAAACTGAAACGAGGAGAGTCAGAAATAAGACACATGGGATGCGTTCAGGGAATCAAGTGGTTGGATGCAAAGATTGTCACTCTTCTTTCTACAGCTCATAATTCGGAGACATTGTCTACTGTAAAAAGAACCCTAAAAAATGGAAGTAGGATTAATGTAGAATGTCCAGGTGCTATTGCAACCTATAATAAAATTATGGGAGGTTTATCAAATTCATCATAAACGTGTGGTGGATCAACTCACATTCCGACTGAATTTGGCAAAGCAACTAATTGCAAAGTTTTCTGCTTCAAAAGGTCCAGCTTTGACAACTCATGTCACCAAAAAAAGAAAACATTTTGAAGAAACGTCAGAAATTGTTGACCACCTGCCCGACGTTCAAAAAAATCGCCGACGTTTCCATTTTTGTTCTACAAAGGAACAAGAAAAGCGAACAAACGTTGTTTGCATAGGGTGCAACGTCCCTTTATGTATCGAAGGATGTTTCCGTAAATTCCACGGTAAGTAGAAGTTACCTGAAAAAGTGTTATAGGGCTCTTGGCGAAGGATCACTGTAAAAAAAATCCTAACGCGCCATTATCGGAACCTCTCAGGTGGTGTGGAAGACCGTGCTTCCTACAAACCTGCAAATCCAAGCAATTTTCAAAAAATATTCCGCCATATTGGATCCGCTATTTTGAATTTTGGAAAACAAACATCGGATTCGTAATTAGCGACCCCAAAAACCCCCGAGTACCAATTTTTAAGCAAATGCAAGCAATTTTTAAAAAATATGTCCGCCATATTGGATCCGCCATTTTGAATTTTGGAAAACAAACATCGGATTCGTAATCAGCGACCCCAAAAACCCCCGAGTACCAATTTTTAAGCAAATGCAAGCAATTTTTAAAAAATATGTCCGCCATATTGGATCCGACATTTTGAATTTTGAAAAACTAACGTCGGATTCGTAATCGGCGACCTCAAAAACCCCCGAGTACCAATTTTTAAGCAAATCCAAGCAAATTTAAAAAAAAATTCCGCCATATTGGATCCGCCATTTTGAATTTTGAAAAACTAACATCGGATTCGTAATCAGCGACCCCGAAAACCCCCGAATAACAAGTTTCAACAAAATCCGTCCGGTGGGTTTCCCGGGGGCACGAAAGGGTTAAAAAGATTCGAAAAAATTAAAAGAGGAATAGTTTGTATTTTTTAATTAATTTCATAAATTTTTGAATAAATAGACAAGTTAACAAATTCAAAACGTATTGCTAGTTTAGAATCATTGAAAGAGTATAGAAATGATCAGAAATGATCACGACGTATATTAAATGATCATGAAAATTAAGTCTTTAGAAAGCAATTATGAAAAATTTAACGTCCAATTCATGCAAAATTGTTGCGTTTAGGCAAGTATACTTTGATTATTTTACGTTCATCTTTAACTTTTTATGCAATATTTATCAACTTACCAGCTATAAATAAAACTGTGGCATGTTTGATGACTCCAGGTTTAACTTCTACTTTGTAGGTTTGGAAAATTGTGTACTGTATCTCGTGAAATTTGTGTATTTGCGACGTGTGGACTTTTTGAGTCTTGGCGTCACCTTCTCCTTCACTTTTCAAAAATTTAATGTATGCAAATTCAGCCATTTTTTCGCATTACAACACTATAATTACAATATAATACTTTTTATTTACACTTTGATGAAAACAATACTTTTGAACTTCTTCACTACATTTCTTCGTAAATTAATTGCACATCGTAATTAACCGCGAAAAAACGTGTCCGCATTATTTAGCATCGAAACCGGAAAACAAAAGAAAAAAGCAGACATATTCGCGTCTTTTTCTATCTCTTGCTTTTGCATTCTAGAAAAATTTAGAAGATTCTAGAACAGGAAGTCTTTGTCGTTATACAAAACTTCGAATCTTTATTGCGCAAGATCATGAGCGTCCTTAAAAGCGCTTTATTTAAATGAATAGTTTAAAATGTCAAACAATTTTTTAAAATTAAATACATTAATTTAACAATAATAACATTAAAAATCATTTTCATTACGAAATTTTGAAATGGTTTTATAAATATAATGTAATTAATTTCATATTGACATTAAGTTATCACAAAGAACCTCCGGGCCCCTATTATGTTTACTACGCTGATGGGTTTGTAGCACTGCGAATTCTTCCGTGAAATCATAAGAAAGAAAGAAAGTGAAAAATGTTCCGTAAACCGTTTTTTTCAATCGATTTGGAATTGGAAATGATTGAAAACAGTGATCAAAAACTAAATGTATGAGCAGTCTGTTGACTCTTTGTAATGGAATAAGAAGGTAAGAAAATAGTTGTTATATGCAAACAAAAAATAATGCATATCTTATATATATATTGCATTTCAAAAACGTGCTTTATGCATAATCTAAATAAAAATGTATAGGTTATGTTCATGATAATTTTGTTTTTTATTAAAAGTTCTTTTTTAATTATATAAAAGTTATAATAGTTTTTTGTATTCAAATTTTTAGATGTAATGCAGACTTTAACATCGACAGTTTGTATATTGAGAGTTAATTTTTTTGTGCATTTTCACATATCCAAACTCTGCATCTGTCAAATCCTTATTTTAAATTACTTTTTTCAGAACTCATCACAATTAATAAGTATAAAGTAATATTTCTTAAATAATTTGTTCCAAATTTTCATTTTACAGAGTCCTCAAATTACACCATAAATTTGCTGTTGCAAATTCTGCAAATGCTAGGAAATTTCATCAAAAACCAGCGCTTAATGTGATTTTTTTATTTTTATTTGTTTTTTCAACTGAAAATACGCGATCAAGAATAAAGGGATTGGTAAGAAAACATTTATTTATTATTTTATTTTACTTTTTATTTTCTTTTAATTTTTTTTTTAATTTTTACTCTGACTTAATCAATAAATTTATAATTCATTTTAAATTTTTCAAAAATTTCAACTTTAATTTATCAGATTTAAAATTCACTTTAAACTTAAATAAAAATCTCCAAATTTACAGGATTTATAAAAATTACATTTTTTGTAAATTCAGGTGATATAAGAGTAAATAACGACACTTTATAATGAAACTTTGAAAATTATAATAGGTAAAGTATATAGTCAACTTTCCTCATCATTACTTGTTATTCTATCTTGATAGATGAATAATTGAGGAGCCGGATCGTAGAACCGATTCTTCGCTCTCTCCGGAGTCCCTCAAGTGAGCCAGCTTTCAGCTGCGCGGGGGACTTGCGCATTAGTGAAGAATCGGTTCTACGATCCGGCTCCTCAATTTGGTTTAATGTTGTTTTCTTTTTTTGTAACTAAGTTTAGAAAGTTTAAAAAAGTTTCTAAGGAATATAACGTACATTTTGAAAGTTGCAGTTTTTAGACATTTATTTCTTTTAAATGTTAGAATTATTACATGCCTTTTTTGTTAGTTTTAATTGTATGTGGACCTACACGTGAAAAGGAATTACTTTGGTTCTATTAGGCTCATCTTTGATTTATATAGGTTATTTTATTTATTTTTATTTAAATTTCATAAATTTCTTAAGGCTATTATTGAATTATTGCATTAAATGATTTAGAAAAAGATAAAAGAAACTACACTTAATTCAATTTTTTTGAAATTTTCTATATTCATCAATGATGTTAAGAAATATCGAAAATCTTATTTTGACAAAGTGGATATCAAAGTTTAATTGCCAAAATTTATGTTTTTTCTGAACAGTTAATTAGATTATAATTTGTTTAAGTTAAAGCACTTTTGGACGAACAGATCAATACGATTAATATTTTTTTATCTTCTGCAAAGACTGAAATTTACTACTATTGCAACGGACCGACAAAGTAGTCCATTCTCTTCTTTTTTAAATACAAAGAAATTATAAATGCTTAAAGTATCAATAAGTTCATGACAATCACAAGATTTTACGTGTGAAATTTTGAAAATTGATGTAATTTAAGAAAACAAATTATCAGAGTTTTTCTAAGAAATTAATAAAAAAATTTTTTTTTATTTACAAAATGAAAATTGCAATTGAGCTGCCGGATCAAAGAAGGGCACATAACCCATTTAAAATACATTAGTTATGTGCCCTTCTTTGATCCGGCAGCTCAATTATATTGGAAACTAAAATCGACAAAGTGATCCTTTTTCATGCGAACGTCCACATATTTTTATTTACAAGTTTGTAATAATCGTTTTTTTTTAAATTCTAAAAATTATAATTTACAGAATACAATGGATAATGCCGAAAAGTATGTGCCTTCCGTAAAACATTACAAGTTGGCATTAGATCCACAATGCGACATTGACCAAATAAGTGAAAGAACAAAAAGAGTTTGGGAAAAAGCATTTCATAAATTGAGTGAAGGTAATTTTTATATATATTTTAATATCGAAAATTTACTTTTTTCTAGATAAGTGTATTTATCTATAAGACGTATTTTATTTTTGTTTTATTTTTAAAAATATGTCAGATTCGATTAAAATAATAAGAAACATCGGATTAAAAGTCACAGTTATATAAATAATTTTTTTTAGCAAAGGGAAATCCACCTTTGGATACAAATAGACAGCACAGTTATGACACAAAAGATGTAGACGCTTCACTTTTTGAAGAAAAAGAACAATTCCAGAGATACGATTACTGCAGTGATAATGAAAGCGATGACGAAGAGGTCAGCGAAGATCACATCACAATTTCAGAAAAATTAAGGGACGAAACAACCGAGTCTCCCAAATCAAATAAATCACCTGCTTTTATCGACAACGGTAATCAAATCATGTTTGAACAATCAGGAACTACTGTCAACGATGTTATAGAAATGGTAGTAGCTTACTGCTTGCGATATGGCGATTCTCAAAAGGGTCGAAAAATGTTAATTGAAATGTTTAAAATTTGCGCAGGACCAAAATTCAAAAATCTAAACTTATCAAACTATAAATTGTCAAAAATTTTCGATCCACCACCTCATGTAACAACATATCATTTCTATTGTAATAACTGTTTTGAAAAAGTGGTGCATTCGTCTTCAAAATCAGAAATCAAAGGTCAAACCTCTCTTTGTGAGCATTGCAATAGTAATTTACTTATTAAGCTTAGCAATCCGAATTATTTTGTCATTAACAACTTGGAGTATCAATTGCAAACATTGTTCAAAAATAAGGAAATTTTAAAGTATTTCCTCGAGAACTCTGTGAAAGAAACTTGCTCAATTGATAATACTACACTAAGTGACGTAAGTAGTAGTGTATTGTATCAACGCACTATTGAAAAACATTCAGCAACATTTACGTATACAATTAGTACAGACGGTGCTCCTCTTTTCAATGTTTCTAAAAGATCATTTTGGCCACTTCAAATCATTTTAAACGAGTTACCCGTTAAGCTACGTTTCAAATTTGTTTTGTTAGCTGGAGTTATGATAGTGACAACTGAACCGAAACCGAATCTCATGAACCTATTTCTCGGAGAATTCATTAGACAAGCCAATTTGATACACTCGAAAGGAATTAAAATTAAATTATTGAATGAAAATCGCGAAATAATATTACAATTTACTCCTATAATAATAGTCGCCGATTCTGTTGCACGGCCTATACTGCAAAATAGATTGCAGTATAACGGAAACTTTGGTTGTAGTTATTGCTATCAAAGGGGAACGTACTTAAATCATTCAATGAGATATCCTTTTCAAGAAATAGAGCCAGAATTGAGAAGTCATGATTCGCACATGAGAGATATAGGTCAAATAAAAGGTCCTGGGTCGTCGTTTCAAGGGGTTAAGGGAAAGTCAGCCTTTATAGAGCTGTCAAATATTGACATGTGCTGGAGTTTTGCTCTCGATTATTTGCACAATGCTGTATTTGGAACAACCGAACAAGTATGGAATTTATGGTTTAAACTATTAACTGTACAAGAGCGTAAATTAATTGATAATCTGCTTCTTTACCAACAACCACCAAGAGAATTGTTTAGACTTACGTTAAAAATTTCAAACAAAAGCGTTTGGAAGGCTACAAATTGGAAGTCCTGGTTATTGTACTTTAGCCTTCCAATTTGTTCTCCTTTTATACAAGATCATGATCATCTGGATATGTTGGAAAATTTTGCGTTGTTTCGAAATAGTATCTTTACAATGTTAAAACTGAAAATTACACAAGACGAACTCAATACTTGCGAACAAAATATGTTACAGTTTACAGCGGAATATGAAAACTTATATGGTCCTGAAAACGTTACTTTTAATGTTCATGCTTCGAATCATATACCTTTGTCAGAAAAAATGTCAGGCCCCTTATGGGCAACATCTGCATTTCCGTTCGAAAGAAACATACATTTTATTAAGCAAACAATTAATGGACCTAAAAGTGTGGAACAACAGATGTCTACAAAGTCCTTAAATCTTCTCAAATATAAAATTCGCCCACCAAATAATAATGTTTCCGAAATAGCTCAGAATTACATTAAAGCGATTTTTAGTTCTGAAACATGCACTAAGAGTACTGTGAGAAGAGGTAAAATTACTTTCTTCCGACCCGATCCGAAAAATATTTTCGAATCTGTCCAAGAGAAGGAATTTGAAAGATGTGTCTTTCAAAACCTCACTTTCAGCAGTACGAAGTACTTAAAATCGAAACGATGGAACGATACCGTTATTGAATTGAAAAATGGAGAATTTGTTCAAATAACAAAAATTTGTTTAAGGCCAGATGATTCATGTTCTTTTTATGTAAAGAAAATAATTGTCGCTCCATATTTTGTAGGGAATATACAAATTGTTGGTATGTGGATAGTAAGAGGCAATGACAATCATGAAAACGTATCAGTGGCAGAAATTCATTCAAAAGCAGTGGTTATAGAATTGGTGTCTACGCAGTTAGTTTGTTCGATACCAAATACCGTTGAAGCGCAGTAATTTAGAATAATATTATCTTTTAATATAGATTTATATAACTTTCATCGACAAGTTATAAATAGGTTTACATTTAATTTAAGATGTTAATATTCTGTTTCAACATTGTAAACTTTGTGTTTATTTATAAATTTTTAAATACTGAACTTCATAAATATTAAATGACAATTTGAGAAGCATAACTGTAATATCTTTTTTGTCTTCTCTCAATTATTGTATTTTTTACTATTGTATAATTTTTGAGGTCAACACAAATGTATATACTCATTAATGGTCCAAATGGATCGCGGGGAAATTGTTCAAATAAATCAATAAATAAATATCTTTTTAATACCTATAATGAATAAATTATTTATTAAAAATTACAATTTTGATGATTATATTTCATTATTGTAAATCGTCTAAACTTAATCATAGACTAGATTAGATTTTATTTACATCAATTTTACGTTCATGTTTTCTGCATATAGGCTTTATATAATTTGACATTAAAAAACTATACTTTAAAAAACGTTAATAAATAATAATAGTAATAATAATCATAATAACTAAATAATTGTCAAAATCATTTACTAATTAATAACAAATAGAATAGAATAATTTGTATTATTAAATAATTATAAACTTTTTTTTATTAAAGTAATAATTTAAATAAAATTAAAAAGTAATTTTTTATTATTTATAATAAATCAGTATTAAAAGATATAATAACAATAATACTGAATAATAATTACATTATTTTTAAAGTTTTAGGTTTTTGTATTTGAAATTATATTAATATTATTTTATTTTTGACTAGAAATAAAATGATATTAATATAACTAAATTATAATATAAATACATTGTTTATTATTAAATAATAAATTAAATTATAATTTTTATCGAATTCGAGTATTTAAGAATTGAAGGGAATTTAGTCTTACCTTCTCAGCCCGTTCTCTACTTTAGAATTGAAAGGAATTCAAATTAAATTATAAATTTTCAAAACAATAAAACGGAATTGATTGGAATTAAGTTTTACCTTGAGTCTTCTCTGCAGTGAAATTGAAAGGAATTCAAAATAAATTACGTATTTAAAAAACAGCAAAACGGAATTCAGAGGAATTCATTTTTAGGCAAAAATTAGTCCTGACAGGGAATACAACGGAATTGGACAGAAATGGAATTCAAAAGAATTAAATAAATCTTCTTTTATGTTAAAAAGTTACATTTTTCAATTTTTTTTAGTTTTTCGCTTCTTACTGGGGAGTCAAATCAAATCAGGTGTTAAATGAATCAAAACCAAGATTTAGTAATGAAAGTTCAATTAATTTCCCAAAAAAAAGAATGATTAATTATTATTATTTTTCTGTTTATTATAATATTAATTCCCAATTATTCGTAATTATATTTGCAAATAGACTTATAGTATAATGCGAAACTTTGTTTCCCATTTTATCACAGTTTACCACTTTGAAAATCAGTTTGACAGATGTTTTTTTCCGTAATTTCTCAATAGCATTTATGAAAATTTGATTCAGTTTGAATGAAAATTGTTTTACGATTCAGATTCATTATTTTTTTTAGTTAAGGTATTTGTTAAAACAAGTTTCATTTCTGTCGATTAACAGCGATGTAAAAATTGATACTTCAATTTAAAGCAAATAATTATTTAAATTGAAATAATATAATTTGCTTTTGAATACTGTGTTTTCTTTAAATAAGGAACCATTTTAAATATTTTCGAAGTGTGTTTGTAAATCTTAGGACTAGTTACAATCTTCCAAAATTCTGGAAATGAGTTATTAAAATTTTTTCTACTTTTTTATTTCTTAAGAATTTGGTTTAATTATTGAAATGTTTGATCTAATACTAGTATTACTTTTTATACTTTAAAATTACATTAAATTTATCAAATTTCAGATTATATAAACGTTTTCATACTTGGATTTTATTTTAAGTCATAAATATAAACGGTTGTAAAATTTTAAAAAAAGAGAATAAAATTTTTGAACTAAGATTTTTTTACCGATTTACCGGGAGATGTCAAATAAAATTAATAATAAATAATAATAATTGGTCAAATAAAAATCTTAATTCAAGAATTCAACCGGTATAATCAATTTCTATCTGAAATAAAATTTTGCTTGTAATTTTCAAAAACAAAAAATGTGATACAGATGTTTGTCCTTAGGTTCATCTGAATAACTTTTGGTATTGGCTGCCTTTTTATCTTTAAAGTGGAAAGAGTACGAATTGTGTTCATGATTTTCATTCAATTTACTTAGGAATTGCGTATGTATCTTTATTCTTATATTTTTTTCTTTAATTAGTAATTTTTAAAAATATTTAAGAAATTTATCTATTTTTTCCACATTTTTGAGAAAAATATATTTCCATGTATATATAAGATAATGTTCAATTTAAGATTTTATAAATAATTATTGTTAGAATAATTTTGTAAATAATTTTATCAAATAATAACTTAATTTTTTTTCGTTTTCAGTATTATTAATATAAAATGGATGAGGAAAGATGTCGTGATGAAAGACGTCGCAAATTAGTAAGAGCACGGGTTAGAAAGCATAGGGAACTAACTCTTGCTGCCGAACGTCGCAGATCATCAGATTCGTCTTCATCAAGTGATGAACGTGATGGTATAAATTAATTATGGACAAAATTCATTTCCAACTAAAAAGACTGAATATTATCAGAATTGAAAGTCAATGTTATTTTTTTCTAATAATATTTTTGAAAAGAATTTTAAATAAAAGTAAAATTTTTTGAATTGAGGCTCCAGATCACATAACTCGCCCGACGTGTCATTCAAAGTCCCATACTTGAGCCAGATCCCATCTGCACAAGGGACTTGCGCATTAGTGCTTGGCGAGTTATTTGATCCGGACCCTCAATTACTGAAATCATTTTTGTATGAAGTGTCATAATAATAACAAAATGACGACCATTTTATTAAACGTATTTTAATTTAATTTTCTTAATCTATTTTTTTTGGAATAAACAAAAACTAAAAAGTTGATATCTTGACTGATTAAAAATTAATTTGATCTAAGTAATATTATACATATTTAATATATTAAATAAATTTCAATTTGTTACAAATATAATGTAATGCGCAGTTATAAACTTATTAACATTTTTTCAAGTTTAATAAAATATTGCCTTCTTTTGTTCAATAGAATTTATGAAATACAAAACAGTTTATATGAAACAAAATTAAATGTTTTTTAAAAATAAAAATTAATAAAAAAATTAAAAAAGGGATCAGTGAAATTTCAACATATTTAGAATTTTCTTGTTTGTGGGTGATCAAATTTTTTTATAAAAATTTTGAGTATTTAAAATTATAATATGCTTTAAAAAATTAATAAAAAATTAATTAGTTAATCATTTTTTAAATAAAACTTGAAATTTTCAAAAAATAAAAATTTGAATTTCGCCCGTAATTTTTATTATTTTTTGTATTCTATTTCTTCATGATTCTTAACATTTAATCGTATATATTTTGAAAATGGTCAAAACTAATTTCTTTTAATTCGAATAATATAGAGTAAATTTAGATAAAAAATAATGCCAGAAAAAAATTGTAACTTGAGAATTTAAATGTAGAAGGGTTGAAATTTCACTTGTCCCTTCCTTGAATTACAAAAAATATTTTTCTGTGCATTATGTTATTATACATATACGTTTATTATAAATATGTTTATTTAAAAACTTCAGAATTAATTATTTTTCTTTTTCTGTTTGTTAATTAGTACGACATCACGCTGCAGGGATTCGAGCACAGAATAACTTGACACCTCCAGACAATCAAGAAGGCTCCAAAAATTCCACTTCGAATGAAGTATTATCCTCTCAAAACGACGATAATCCTCATCTTCCAATTGAAAATCGCATTCAATCAGAAAGATCGAATTCACCAGCACCAAGCGGAAATGAACATGAGAACTCAGGCCAAGACGCAGAAGAAAATGAAGCATCTATTGCTTCATCTGATTGGACTGGAGATGAAATTAATGAAGAAGATGATCAAGCAGTAGAAGAAATCGATGAAAGTGCTGATAGTGAAGTTTCTGAGGAAGAAAATGAAAATCTTGCCGACATGGATAGACTTCGTGAGTGGGCCATCAAAAATAAAATTCAGCAAAATCATTTGGATGAACTTCTTACCATTTGTAGAAGGCGTTGGTTACCAGACCTTCCAAAATCTTCGAAAACGTTTTTGAGAACAACGGCGGCAACGTATAACATTTTTTCGATGGATTGTGCTTCTGGAACTGACGGAGAATTTGTTTATTTTGGTGTTGGAAAAGATCTAAGGGAGTGTATAGACCCAAACGTTCACACAGGGAATACAATTCAGCTTAAATTTAATGTTGACGGTTTGCCTATCAGTAAATCTGATAACACTCAACTGTGGCCGATTCTTTGTCAAGTCGATCACGATGAAATAAGTTATGAACCTTTTGTTGTAGCCCTGTTTTGTGGAATGTCAAAACCTGTTAGTAATTTGGTTTATTTCGATGAATTTTGTACAGAAATAAATCAAATACTAGAAGATGGGCTTGAAATTGAAGGACATTTATATGATTATGTAACCGTAAGATGTTTTGTTTGTGACACACCTGCAAGATCGTTTTGCAAACATACTGCAGGTCAAAATGGCACATATTCTTGCGAAAGATGCACCGTCAAAGGTACAAAACGAGGATTCCCTGCTACAGTCTATTTATCGATGGACAGTGAAGAACGCACAGATGAATCATTTCAACTTCTAAAAATCTTATGCGAATTTCTGCATTCCCATTTGAAAATTGTTTAGGGAAATTAAAATCTAAACTCAGAAATCCATTGAGACCACTCGCTCAGCTATGTCGAAGACTTTATGAAGAAAGCACTATTGTTCAACGAAGAGGAAGAATTCCCCCTGCACTGGAAATATTAAAAGAAAGAAATAACGTTATTTCACAAGTGAAATATAGAAATTATACGTTGTCTACAAGAGATCCCGATAATACCGTTCTATTGGAAAATAGAAACTTATTACAAATAACAAATATTTCCAGAAACGGAGATGAACTACAAATTCAAGGGTACCTTTATGAAAAAAGAAGACCCATTTTTGAACAACCTTTTCAATCCGATGCCTTGGACATGTGGGAAGTGTTTAGATATCCTGTAGGAACATTACAAACATTTCTTATAACATCTGTTAAATCTAAAGTCGTTAAATTATCGCTTAGGGTGCGAACTCAAGGAGAACAACGTACTTTTATGGTGCCTTTAATCCATTAGAAATTAATATTCGACGAAAAATGTATATTTCTTTTGTGCAAAAAAAAGAAGTGATTCTGTTGGATATTGAGAAATAATTTTGTATTAAAGTAATTGTTATCTTAGGGAGAACAACTTAATTTATATAGTACTTTTCGTAAATACTCGACGAAAAATTTATATTATTTTTATGTAAATAAAATAACTGATTTTATTTATTAAACAAAATTTTTTTTATAATACATTGTAAAAGTTTTCGACATTGAATATTAATAAATAATTTCCAATTAAATTAATTTTTATTATACTCATATAATAAAATATTTCCATATTTAGAAAACTTTACTTAAATAATAATTAAAATAAAAAATTTAAATTAAATTAAAACTTTACATTAATTAAAAAATTAATAATAATAATTATATAACATTAATTTGTGAAACTAAGTCCTTAATGCAGTGACTCTGTACAGATTCTAGACCGTTTCTCAATGTGAAACAGTTAATGCAGTGAAACTATACAGAATCTAGATCGAATCGGTATAGTTTTACTTGACTAGTTTCACGAGACGTTTACGGTATAGTTTCTATCTCGCATATAGTTTGACGAGAGATTTTTCCACACGGGAATATTAATTATGAGAAATGATTATTCGGTAAATTGAAAATTATATAAACAAGGAGGGGGTCCTTTATGTTTATTTCATAAACATTTTGCTTCCTCATTGTGTGAAGCAAAAAATTTGCTTCCTCGTGGAGGAAGCTATGAATTTCTCCAATTCGATTGATTGATTTAAAAAATTTCGAGTTGAAAACTGTTTTAAATTAATTAAATTTTTTGAAGAATTAAGAAAATTTTAATTAATTTTGGGTGTAACATATACTTTATATATACATATCGATTCGTTTCAATGCAAGGAATACAATTATTATATTTATTAACTTGAATTTTAAAAAAACACAAATATTTTTATCTAAAATATGAATTTTCGATTTTTCAATTTTTATTAATTCTCAAATTTTAAATCAAATCTATACTTTATATATACCAACCAATTCATTTCAATGCAGGGAATAAAATTATTTCATATATAAACATGAATTTAAATAAACACAACATTTTTTAGTATAATGTGAATTTTTGATTTTTTAATACTTTCATTAATTCTTTAAATTTCGCTCAAATCTATACTTTATATATATATATATATATTTATATATATATATATATATATAGATTCATCTTGACGTAAGGGAAACGATCATATTATATATTACCTTAAATTTTTCGATTTAAAAATTTTTTCAATTAAAAAAAATTTTTGGAAAAAAGACGATAAAATTTTTTTTTTAGGTATTTTTAAAAATCCTTTCGTCATTTTTGAGAGATTAATGTGTTAAATATGCCTACAAAATTTTATTCAAATCCATTAAAACCTGTTAAAAATATCGTGTTCACAAAAACGATCCACACACACATACATACATCCGGACAATTGATCAGGATCTCATATAACATGTTTCTATATAGAGGAAAATTTGTTTTCACCATTTTTAAAAATTTTATAAACGAAAGGACTACAAAGCTTCTTCCTCGAGGAAGCAAAAACAAATAATTGTTCGAAAAAATATTTATTATATACAAAATGGAAATTCGAAGAAAAAAAATGGTAATTATATAAAATCAAAAATAGTATAAACAGGTTTTTGGAAAAATAAAAATTATGAAAAATACTAATTCGCTACAATAATAATTATGAGAAATGATTATTCGGTAAATTGAAAATTATAAAAAATGTTCTTTCGAAGTTAAAAAATTCTGTCAAATAATAATTCAAAAGTATTTTTATTATATAATCTGACGATTCGAATTATAGTCAATTCCTTTTAGATAAAACGATTTTCGAGAAAATAAAAATTCGAAAAATCAAATTTGGGGTTTAATCATGCGCCTCGTCACGATTTTTCAAAAAGTGCCATAACCGATGTTTTTAGTGGTTTCAACACCATTTTTTCAAAAACTTGACGTGATGGAACATTTTGAATATCGGATTCGTGTTAAGCGCAAAAGGTTAAACTAATCTGCGCATAAACACAGTACGGAAACTCGTTCGGTTAAATAGTCTGTAAGTATCTAGTCAACCAGATAACAGTCTGTAAAATTAATTACGTGTTTTATATAACATATATAACAATATGTCAAAAGATGAGCTTTGACAAAATGACGTGAAAAATAAGTTCAAAATAATAAACATAATACCGTCTGTCAGTGTGTTGGCAGCGACCAAATGGTCTGTCATTTTACAATGTACTTCCAAATGGTACAAGGAAAAACATATAAAAAAATTAGGTGTATGTATATATAATATAGGTAACTTCCAGGAAGTTTCCAAATTTTAACTTTAAATAGCGAGGACTTATAGCTCTCAGGATGTTTACAGAAAGTTAACAGTTGAAAGCTCCGAACTTCACATTGGTAATTTCCTGTAAACTTCTTTGAAAGATTGGTGCTATCTGGGTCTTTGTGTATTTTCACTCAAAAATTTTGAAACAACCTAAAATTTTATGCTTCTTTAAAATACGTCACATATTTTATATTTTCAAATAAGGTTTTAGAAAAGCCGCATAATTTGAAATTTCTTTGAAAACCGCTATTTTTTAAAAAGTTTTTAATGCATTTGAGTTTATTTAATGTTTATATTTACAATACCGATATATTTAGTCATTTTTATAATTTCAGAGAAACGTAGTTGCTTGCAATCAGGTTTGTCATTAAGAGTTTATTTATAGACTGGTTTAATCTTAATTTCACTGCCAGTTCAGCACAACAATAATATAATTTTACAATTAGTTCTCAAGAATTATAAATAGCAAATTTTAAACATCAGAATGTTTGTAACTTCAAGAACTAGTTACAATGTTGATGCAATAGTAGAAAATTCATTGCGACATTTATATTTTAATTTTAAATATGATTAAAATATAGAAAATAATAATTATACAAAAATTGTTGAGAAAAAGATGATTTTGATTAAGTTATGTACTTATAAGAAGCGTTAATGAATTTTTGATATTTATTCTCACTGAACAAACATTTTAAATATAATTGAGAAAATTAAATTAAATCTGGCCTTCTTTTGATTTTTTACAAGAGATTCAATTCAAAATTATTATGAATTATTAAATTCAAAAGTACGTTTCCGATAACCACAAATTTTTATTTTTCCAATTTTTGAATTAGGGGTTTACAATATTTTTTTATTTTTCTTTTTAAATAAATTAAACCATATATTTTAAGAACATTGCTATGTTAACAATAATAATACATATGAGAAAAAAAATTTCGTTTTCATTATTGTAAAGTAAAAGAAAAACTGAAACTTTTCTTCTTTTGGCAAAAATTGAAAAAATCAATTTTTTTCGAGTTACCAGCAATTAAAAATAGGTCTACATTTACAAAACTGAAATTTCAGAAATCCATATCTCGAAAATTTGTCAAAAAAAACGTATCTCTTTTTTTACACTACAGAACAAGAAAAAAATATGTTTGTCCGATTTTAAAGGGTCGACGGAAATCTCACGTGAAATCGCCCATATATATTAATTGTTTCTGTATAGAGATAGGCAATTTTTGCTTTGTGTACTAAAGTTACAAAAAATAGAATAAAATTGCCCTTTAGTGCTAAATCACTTAGTATATTAAGAAATTACAATTAATATAATTATAAATTATCCAAATCATGTAGGTGACTAACAAACTAATACAAAATTAATTTTCACAATTCGTTTGTGAATTTGTTTAAAGATACACCAAAGAAGTCCAATTCGTGACAGAACTCATTACCTCTAGTAAAAACTCTATTGATTACACTATTGTATGTCTAAGTAGTTAGACTTGTTGAATTGAATTCTAAACAATTTTTTATTTTTCAATCCCTTTGAAGGAACAATGAAATTTTTGCTTGACAAAATCGATGGATAAATATTAAACCATTAATAATTATTTTGAACAAAAATAATAACTCTGGAAAGATAATTTTTGAAGAGAATTTGGAACATAAAACATATGAAAGTAATACCTTTAAAAATTTGAATATAATTTTCAAGATTCCACTTGAATAAATAATAAATTGATGACACTTGCTTAGAGATTTTTCTAAACGGATTATTGTAGTTTGGGGGAGTAGTATAAAAGCCCCATAGTTTGCTCTCGATTTCCGGTTGCAGAAATTGTTATAAACAATGGTCAAAGTTAGTGAAACGTAGTTTTTTGGTGCTCGTTGCTTTCCTTCAAATTTTAGAGGAAAAAGTTGTGATTAAAAAGAAAAGGTATTAAAAATACTTACAAAATGGTGGATCGGAAGTTAAAATCGGATTATTTGTTTAAAAGTTATTGAACTTAAACCATTAAAAATGGCACTTTTTTAATTGTTTAATAACTTTGTTAATAATAATCCGATTGGAGTGAAACTTTCTGAAAATGTACCCCTCGCGATACTGAACAAAATGAAAAAACTTTGAACTTAATCGGATATATAGTTTATAAATTATTCCATTTGTTAATTAAAA